ACTGATCATGTCCACCTTCTCCCCTTCTTGGTCTTCGGCAGTCTCACTCTCACCATTGGAAGACAGAGAGCGAGGTAAAGGTGGAGCAATAGATGCCAGCTTTCCGACTACCTTGGCGATCTTGTCGGTCTTGAAAGGAATGCGGAGTTCCTCGCAGTTGGCGGGCGAGTAAATCTTCGTGGGGACGGCTTTCTGGGCGTTGAAGGAAAGCAATTTAGACTTCAGGCGTGTCATATTACCCTTTTCGCCGTGAACAAGAATCTGAAATTCAGTAAGTAAGTGTTTTTCACCATGGACGTGGACTAAGCTAGACTTACAACGACCGGAGCGGCGACTTCTTGCACAAACTCCATGTTCTCCTTTCCATCAACGTGCGCCGCGAAACTGTACTCTTGAACTGTGCACCGTCGTGGAATCATGGCCTGCTCATTCTCCCTCTGACCTGGCCGGCGTGCTGCGTTACTAGCGCGGGACATGATTGCTGGGATCTGGTCCGGCTCGTGAACGATTTGTTTTGCCATGGTGCCTTCGACAGAGTAACCGGTGATGATGACACCGTTCCTTGGGTCGGGCGCCCATCGCTCAAGCAGCTCGCGCGATGTACCAGACTGCATCATACCTGGCGAGGCAAGCATGACGCACCCACCTAGATCGTCGAAACGCTCCAGACTCTTCAGTGAACGCACAAACTTGAAGTCCCAAGCTCCACGTCGACCGGTATCTCCCGCGGCTTCGGCTTCGGCCATGCGCTCAGCGAAGAGACGTTTGATGTTGTCGTTCATGGCCGAGACGTACGTTTGGTAGACCTGCATACACTTACGAGCTAAGCTGGAGTTGTAGTATATGGGTATCTTCTGAACTTCTGGATGCTTGCTCCAATATTCGTCGAGAATAAGAAGAAGCTCCTGGGCTCTACCCAGGGCGAAGACTGGAAGTAGAGCACGACCTCCGCGGTTGAGCACGTCGGTAATAGCCTTCATGAGCTGTGCCTCTCGCTCGACACGTGGCGTATGCATCGAGATACCGAATGTTGACTCGGTGATGAGGACGTCGATCTTTACGCCTGGCGGTACTGAAGCTGATACCAAATGTCGATCGTCTTCCCGCGAGTAGTCGCCGGTGAAGAGTATCTTTAGGCCTGCAATCTCCATAAGAAACATGGCCGCTCCAAGTACGTGGCCAGCTGGGTATGGTGTTATCCGTACACCGGATACGGTGTGGGTGGTGTAAAAGTCGATTGACTCAATCATGGGATAGGTGTTGAGATGGTCCGCCTCGGTGTACATCTGGATCTTGGTCTCGGAATTGCTCGACATGTTACCGACACGGACAGAGTCTTGGATGAGCCATTTGTAGATGGCCTTGGTCGGATGTGTCATGAATACGCGACCCTTGAAGTTGGTCTTCGCAAGTACATAGGGTAGAGAGGCAGCATGGTCGACGTGGAAACTAGCCTGATGTCAGCATGCTGGAGGACGACTGGAGGACTCAGGGTGAGCCCGGAAGAAGCGCCCAAAGTTGTAGTTACATTGGCGGGAACCAGGGAGGGGCACATCATCGAAGTCGAGCGGGAGGAAGCAAATTATATTCCATTCATAGTGATATACAAGTCGCTGTATTGCGAGTGCCCTTTGCGCGCTCATGGTCCGACTCCAGTGATGCGCCGAACCCCAACTACTATGGCAAGCAAGACGCGCGGATACATACTGTGAAATTAGTAGCACGTCTACGGTGCTAAGATCGAAATCATCGTAAAATGGCATGGCGGACAAGCCTTCGTGTGCGGGATGCATACCGGCATCAAGCTGTCCCTCGTTAGTATGGCTGGCGTAGAATATACGAGTCCTAAATGCGCACCATGACGGTCTTGCCCTTGTACTGGATGATGTGACACGAGCGGCCGACCTCGTTACCGCCTCCTAAGCAGAGGAACATGAGCTCGTCGGAAGGATCTATTGGGTCTTCGTCCTCGGGCGCCATAGCCGTCGCCTTTCTCTTCGACGCCATAGTTGTGTGGGTTGAGATGTGGATGTTTTACTAGGTGGTATACGGGCGACGGAGGTGAGGCTACGGGGTTGGTGGATGCCCAGGTGGTAGCCGAAGAAGAACGCGTAAGATATCTATAGACCGCGCCTGGACCTAGCTCATTAATCGTGAATTGGTGTCGCAGGGATATTCAACGCCTCAACGGAAACGCCCAAGGGTGAGAGAGAAGTCGTGGCAGCGTCGAGTGAGAGCGGAGTGGTAGTTGGTTGACCGTTGCGGCTCTCTTTGTCTGGCGCGCGACTGCCAAGACTTTGTCCGTGCTCGTCATTCCCAGATTCATCGTCCGCTCTGTCAACCGCGACATCACCAACCCCGACGCGCCTGCCAACTCCACCCACCGCGCCTGCCCGCCGAACACGTCCCATCGCAAGCGCCATCGAGCCCCGACTATACTGCCGCCGGATGACGCGCCGATAGAAACCCTCTGCCAGCGCGACTCCCCGAAAGGGACGAGCTGCCCACCATGGCCTACCCGAACAACTACCAGTATCCGCCGCCGGGCCAGCAGCCCCCGCCGCCCGTGCAAACGCAGAATCTGGGCCACCAGCAGCAGCCGCGCGCTTTCTCACCGCAGAATTACCAGCAGTCGCCCACCGCCCTGTCCCCAACCATGGGCAGCGGCATTCCTCCGAATAAGCGGCAGCGCCTGTCGCCAAACCCGCCATCGCCTGCGCCGTACCAGTCGCCTTTTGGCATGCCTGGCGCGCCCCAATACCCTCCCTCGCCCTATACCGCTTCCCCTCAGACGCCTGGCTACCACTCGCTGCCCACCTCGCCCGCCGCGATGCAGCCTCCGCCCTTCCACCAGCCCCAGCCGTATCAGCACCCGAATGGACAGCCGCCAGCGCCCCAGGGCTCTATGCCGCCACCCAAGGTCCCTTATAGCAAGACTGGCGATAGTTCGGAATTAGAAAAGGCGAATGCGCGCGACTTGGACGTCAATAACATTAGCGATGTGCTCACAGGATCTGGTATCGATCTGCGCGCCGAGGAGGACAACCTGCTGCACAACTACAGGAGCTTCAACTCGCAAGCATCGGGCTCCACAGCATCACCACATGCTAGCTTCAACAACTGGAGCCAGCAGTCGGGCCATGGCGCATTCCAAGGGACCGGCGCACTTAGTCAAGAAATGACCAAGGAGCAGCATGAAGCTGAGTTTATCAGGAAGCACGAGCAAGCCGCCAGGATCCTGAACGAGTCAGCCCAGCAGCCGCTGAACGACCCGTTCCTATCAGCAAGTGTCTTAAGACATCGCATCGCGAAACGTGGCTATGAACACGGAATTCAGATCAATGTAGATGGCCTGTTCGACAAGATCCCGGACAAGGGTCAGCAAGAGATCGCACGTACGACTGCAGCCGGCGCCAACGGCGAACAAATCGTAGGCCTAGAGGCTGCCAGTCTACTGAACCAGAACGCTCCACTTGTGGAGATTCTGACGCTGATATCGCTGGCTGCCGAGGAGCGTGTCCGGACTATAGTTGAGGATTCTTTTGCTTTATGCCAAGGTCGTCAAAATACTTCTCATGGCATCATTCCCCCACAGATGCTTGATCTTGCTGTGGTGGATGAGGGCGCATCAGAGAAGATGGCCCCGCCAGTCAACATCTTGAAGACGCCGTGGGAGGCAACAGACAGCGCTGTCAGCCCTACAGCGACAGCCAGCAAGGGTATGTTTGTGTTGAATATTTTCTAATCTATTGCTAATCGATGTAGGCGTCCCCAATGCGGGACGATTACCAACGCCTCCAAGTGAAGCACCCCCGACTCCTCAGCGAACATACCAAAACGTCAATCACGTTGCCATTGCGCTTACGAAGCGTGTAAATGATGACTACAAGTGGGAGCAGGAGCGCCTTCGCAAGCGCGCAAAGCGTCAGGCAGGCGCCTCGGCCTCCTCAGCAGATACCCCAGCTGCCCCAATACCCATGCCGGAACCTGTGACCAAGAAGGCTTTGGCATTCGCCAAGAAGCAAAGTCAGTCAGACGTTGTCGTATTTGGCAAAGCCAACGAGACCGCCAGCATGGCGCTTGGTGGCAAGAAGAAGAAATACTCGTGGATGACGGGCGGTGGCGGAGGACCAGCGTCAGGTGCATCTACACCACGACCGGCTGCAGCAACAGGTGGCAGTGGCGCCGCTACACCTGCGGTCCAAGCGCCCGAAAAGGCTCTCATGGGCAAGAAGCGCAAGTTCGGCGACACCATTGAGCAGACCGAAACAGGCGCCGGCATTCAGCTCCGTGATCTCATTCATGTGCTGGACAACGACGGAAGAGAGAAGAAGACGCTCACAGTCATCTTGGCGCGTCTGAAGAACACAGAAAAGGATACTAAGCCTGAGGTCAACAAGGCGGCGCCTGCTGTACCTGGTCCGGGTGTAAGAGCTTAGGCTCTACCTTTATTTGCATTATCAGCGTTGGCGTTAAACGGAGGGATGTCAAGTGAAGAGGACAGAACTTGTGACATATTATTTGCATTATATCCCCAAGGGCTGGGGTAAAACTTTCATCGATGAGAGATGAATGACTGGGTACCTTCGAATGGAATGGGTTTCGTGCTAAGGGTATCACGTTCACTAGGGTGAAGTAGCTAAATGATCCCCAAGAATAATATCTACAGAAGATACCACCTACCAGCTTTCGAATTTGTGCTTTCGACAATGCTACTCGGCGATCAAAACAACTCTCTAGCGGTAGCCTTGGTGATAAAAAAGGATTCGATCATGTCCGCAAGGCTACCATGATGCCTTTGACCAGTGTAAGCGCCAGGTGCACCAATAGCAAGCGTTCCGGACTAGCGCCAATATGCTCAGCCTCATATGTTCGACTGCGGCACAGTTGCAAGCATTTTGGATGCCTGTCAACAGCCCGCTCAATGCGGTTGCGCTTTCGCTCTCTTGACCACGACTTGATTATCCATCTATTCATGTACCGTTGCTTGATGCGTCGAAATGTACCATATCTCAAGGCGGCCGCTCACCACTCTTGCCTTGTTTGTTGTTCGAACGCATCACAAACGATTAGCTTCGAGCAGAGAACCTGTACGTTGGCTTGGAGCTCCCGTCTATACAAATCATAGTTTAAGGCCTGGACAAATACGTCTTCCCCGAGCAGCATTATCCACATCAACGCATTCAAAGCATTCTTTCGGTGAAGGTACGCCATTTCCACCATCCCTGCCAACTCTATCTTATCACAATGCTAACCTTCACACAGATTTCGACCCCTACAACTACACAAAAGGGCGCTGGCTCCGTAACGATGCAATCGAGCGAAAGGCACGGTTCATACAATTCGACTTTGACGCTTTGTGCCGCAGGATCATAGCACTATGCCCCGGTGCTCATTCCATCACCTCTTGTGAGAAGATTGAAGGCGGTAGCAACCGCGTCTTCATTTTCCACACTGACAATGGAGAACGTCTCGTTGCGAAACTGCCGTTTTCTGTGGCGGGCCCTCCGAGGTATACGACGGGTTCGGAGGTTGCTACTGTGGAGTACTGTACGTTATTTTACACGATACAAGACAAGAAGTATGGTAAAGTAAATGACTGACCTTACGTTCCGTTAGTGCAAAGTAAGACCAGTATCCCCATTCCCAAGATACTGGACTGGAGCGACGACGCTTCCAACACCATTGGAAGCGAATACATCATCATGGAACATGCCCCAGGCGTTTGCTTGAATCTGAAATGGCACGACATGACAGAGGTCCAGCGAGCCTTATGCATGAAACCCATCTACCAGAAAATGAAAGAAGCCGCCAACCTCGCATTCCCCGCATACGGCAGTATATATCGAACCGACACACCGTACATCAAGGGTTCTACGATCCCGCTAGACTCAGACTTCTGCATCGGACCTAGTTGCGACGACCTGTATTGGGACTGTTCACCCACCTCACCAAAGTATTATCATGACATCAAGCCCAACCGAGGACCATGTAAGCCAACCCCCATCATTCCAGTATCAACCCAACATCCTCATCCTCACCCCAGGGCCCAACCTCTCCACCTTCAGCTCCGCCCTCACAGACGTAGGCCTCTCGCGCCTCCCACCCGCCAGCACTGCCTCTTCCCTCCGCCTCCCGTCCTACCACGGCACCATCTCAGAACACAAAGTCCTCCTAGAATACTGCCGCGCAATAGCAAAACAGATGATCCAAACTACACTCATGCAAACGGTGTCCACGCCCATACTATTCCACCCAGATCTGCATTCTCGGAATGTATTCGTTTCGGAAGAGGATCCAACGGTTCTCACCGCGATACTAGACTGGCAGTCCTCAGCCGTACAGCCCGCGTTTTGGTATGCGGACTCCACGCCTGACTTTGCACGGAAAGAAGAAGTGGAAGTCGTTGCGAAGGATGATGGACAAGGTGAGGCAGGAGATCGAGATCAAGAACAAGAACAAGGACAAAAACAAAAACAAAAACAACCAACACACACGCCCTCAAGCACCCTCCGCGCAGAAACCTTCGACCACCTAATCCACTCCCATCTCCCCCTTACAATGCTCATCCCCCGTACAATGGACGAAGCCTACCTCCGCCCCTTCACCTACGGCCACAGATCCTGGCTGCACGGTGCCACCCCCTTCCGCGAGGAACTCATCCAAACGTCGCGGCGATGGGGGGAATTAGGTTTCTCAACCGTAGGGCCATGTGCGTATCCCATGCCTAGCCGGGAAGAATATGCCGCGCATTGGGAAAAGTATAAAGAGTTTGAGGCGCGACACACCATGAAGACTGAAATGCAAAGAGTTTTAGGTGTACAGAGTGGGGGGTGGGTGTGGGCGGATATGTATGACGTGACGAATCAGGCGCAGAAGGAGTGGTTTGAGGAGGCGATGGAGGGGGCGATGGGGGAACGCGGGGAGAGGGTGTGGGTTAGTGAGGAGGGGGAGAGGTTGACGGAGGCGGAGATTAGAGAGACTTGGCCGTTTGATTTGGAGGATTGATGGGGGTGGGGTGCATGGCGGGTTATGTACGATAGGTTTTGTGCTTGTATGCTTCTCTGCTCAATGTACAACAGTATCTCTTCTCATAGTTGTATTGTTGCCATCACTATGATTAGAAGGCACTCCACATGTCGACAGTCTCGTTCCTTTGATGAACGTAAGCGTGAACGATACTTGAACAAGGAACGATCGAAACACCAAGCAACACCAATTGAAACAATGATAAAGATTTTGCTATTTCAAACGTTTGAAGAGGGGTATGCTTATATAACATCATCAATCGCCTTGGACCAGATCGTCAGGAAGATAAAAACTGGCCTCCAAAAAAGACAGATAAAAGAGGACGCGCGCAGAAGAGACAGTCGCAATCATGGTCCTCGTCTACCCATACATCGTGCCCGTATCCCGGTAGTAAAATGTCCAAAAGTATGTTTGCTCTCCCGCAGATTAACAACTTTTTCGAAAAACATAGTCGTGCGTAGTTTGGCTCGGTAATTATCAAGATGCGATTGCCCCTGTTTATCTGAAGCGAGCAGTGCAGCGGCCCATGACCTCGCCCTGGCAGACGAGCTCGGCGTTGAATTCGGATCCGTCGAGCGTGAGGTAAATGTCAAAGTAGACGCGGTAGAAAGTACCTTGAGGGGTATCCATGCGTTCAAAGTCTTTTTCGAGGTTCTTTCGTGAGAGGTCAGAGGTGAGGGTGACGACTTCCTTGATACCTAGTTCGCTGTTAGTACATACATTTCGTTCAGGTATCTTTTTCACTCACGAGGGTCTTTGGTGTACTCTGGGCAAACATCGTCGTCGCATGCGTAGAGTATATCCTCATACATGAGCGTCGCACCAGGCGCGACTTGCCTGAAGAACGAGACCTTGACTGGCTCGCCAATCTTGACCCTTTGGCCCTTTTGCACGAAGATCTGGCGCGTGTATTTGCAGCGGTCTTTGCCATCGAGAGACGGAACACGGTACTGCTCGGGATGATGGCCCTCTTTGAATGGCTGGAGGGTGGCCATGAGGTAATGCCTACGCGCAACACGGTGTGTGACGATTCGTTCTGTGATACCGGCTGTGACGGCTCCCTTGACGATGGCGGCGACGGAGTCCATGGGACGGACAACCTTTGACTGAAATTGGGGCGGGACGTGGAGTTTGATCTGTTGGAAGAGATATTCGGAGGCACCGAAACCACCGACCACCAAGACGTTCTACTATAATCAGCACTGAGAGTGATGTGGTTCGACATCTGTGACTGCTTACCTGCAATGACCTGTTCTGTGCCTGAATAGCAATAATCTGGTTCCTGACAAGCTCGAGAATGCGGTTAACCACAGGCTCGAAGCACTGTAGAATCTCCTCATTGGTGAAGGTCATGTACCCCTCCTCAATGCCAGCCTCTGGGAATTCAGCCTCGATACCGACGTCGACAGCCCACTTTTGACCATTGTTTCGGAAGTCGGCTTTTATCCTGTTCTCGAAGTCCATGATGCATTTGGCGTACACTTTGCCGGCTGTCTTGGAGCCATCTGGGAGTTTCATCTTCCTGATCTTGGCTCGGAGGATGTTGCTGAAGTTGCGGTTGAGCGCGGTGGAACCACACGAGTCTCCGGATCCAGCTGTGCACTCGGCGACGGAGAAGGGCTGCTCTTCTTCGACTTCGTAGGCGATCAAATCGACGGTGCCACCACCGCAATCGACAATGAGGACGGCGTCGTGTATCTTGAGGTTGAGCAGACCGGTCTTTGAGCAGAACATGGCGGCGGCTTCGGGTTCGGTGATGAGGGTCAGTCTGTTGTCGTTTTCGTCCCGCAAGAAACCAGCCTGAATGGCAGCCGCACGCGTTGCAGCCTTTCCAGCGTCGTTCCAGATGGCGGGCACTGTCAGGTAGTATCTGATGTTGCGCTCCTCGCGGTTGAAGACCTCACCAAGTGTCTTCTGCAGCTGGTTCCGCATCGCCTGGCGCAGGTGGAAGAGGTAGTCGGCGGCGACATCGATCTCAGACTTGCCGGGGGGTAGCGGCGGGAGGTTGATGGGGTCGATGTATGTGTTTCCGGACAGCATGAGCTGCAGCTTGAACCATTCGACCTTTTGCACACCAGGCTTCGGGTAGCCCGTGGGGGCCAGAGCATCGGCGATGTCAGGGCCCCATCCGACTACCTTCTGGTACTGGTCGTAGTACAGGACGGTGGGAATCTGGGAAGGGTTAGCGGGTGCATGTGGAGGGGTCGGTCTAGCGCACCTTCTGCTTTGTCTGGTTGCCCGCGCCAGGCCATTCGGTGATGATGTCTTCCTTGGCCTCGGTGTTGGTCGCAAAGGCGAATGCGACGCCGGAGAAGGTGGTGCCCTGTGTGGCATGGTTAGCGGCTGCCGCGTCCGGGGGTGTCTGGGGCTGCTCACAAAGTCGATGCCCACAATGAGCTGGGCCTTGGAGCGGCCTTCACCCGCTACCTCTGCCATGCCCGAGGGCCTGTTGTACGTTGCGGGGGGACCATGAGGGGCAGGAGCGCCCGGCGGTGGAGCGCCGTAGCCCTGGCCGTACTGTCCAGCTCCCGGCGGGCCCTGGGGAGGATAGCCAGGCGGGCCAGCCTGCGGCGGGTAGCCCATGGGGGTCTGCTGGGGCGGGTAGCCAGGCGCGCCCGTGTTGATGGGCGGCAGAGGACTCGCGGGCCGGCCGTGCTGCTGTTGCGGCGCACCGAGGCCGCCGGGCGGGGCATACGTGTACGAGGGCGGGCGGCCCAGGGGGTTTTGCTGGTTCATGGGGAGCGAGGTGCTGCTGGAATTCGAAGCCTGGGGCGATAGCGACGTCGGTCGTTGCGCTCCCGTGGGGGCGGGATTGCCTTGGGGCGTGGGCGAGGGATTGTGTGAGGAACTCTTGCGTTTCGAACCCACTAGGTTCTTGAAACGGGCGTTCATGGAACTCATGAGAGAGGAGGGAGGAGGGCTGGTCAGGCGGGAGGGGTGCGGTGCAGGATATCTGGGAGCGGTGCTGCGGCTGACAGCAAGCTGGGCGCGGTCCAAACGGCGCAAGCTGCAAGGCTGTGTGAAGGAAAGCCCGCCAACGCGGTGCGGCGCAGTCCCGGAATTGGCTGGGGCAGCTGGAGGATAGGCAGAGTATCCTCGAGCTTGACACGGCAGATGCAGCGCGCGCACACCCAACAGTTCAAGTCCCTGGCCACGGCGCTTGCTGGCGAAATTGACGCGGCGGGGTGAATTGTACACAAAGAGCGGGTCACTCTCCGCCGGTCAGCATCCTGGGCATCCTACGCCACATACTAAGGCCATTGCCTACGACCAGCCACGTCGAGCCGCTGTCAAACACGTCTGTTCTGTCCAGTTCCCAGCGGTACCCCAGCGACATGTAACGACTATTCCCGGCCGAACACCACGTGCTGAGCAGGGCCGACTCTCAAGAGGACAAGACAGTTTCCTCAAGCACTCTGGCGGCCTGACCAATCCATCAACGATGCATCCGTCTTACAAGCCCGAGCTGGGTGGGTCCGCTGCACACTGCTCACCTCAGCACTCTAGATGCCTGAGGTTGTACGTTGCGGATGCCTTGCCCTATGCGAGCAATGGGTTCGAATTTCGCAGGTACAAGCTTGACATCTCTGTGCAGTTTGCGAGTTCGTCCTATCTTCGCGTTTCTTTGTTCCGGTGCCCATCGCTGCCATGCTACGGACCCACTAAACTCTCCACACCAGGGTCCGTAAGGCTGGTGTCTAAACTTGGAACCGGGCCTGTTCGGTCACGGTATGCTAGCGTCGAATTGTGCAGCACGTTAACCAGTACATTTTGGACTTGCATGCGTATGTTTGAGACTCGATCAAAATTTCCAATGGCAATGTCTTGATGCTATGCGAAGTATGTGCTAAAATGCTTTCAAGATGCGACCATCCAATGTATCCAATGTAGCCAATGTGTCCAACACGCCCAACGTATCCGATGTATCCAATGTAAACGCCAACAAGTATCCCACCATCCTATCCAAAAGTCGCGTAGAATGCTCGCGTGTGTATCATATCAATCCCATCTCATTGCTGTATCCAGAACCGCCCCCTCCCTCCACATCCCATCACCCCACCAGCCCACTCCCAAACGCCAGCCAAGCCAACACCCCCGACACAACTAACAACATTACCGCAACCACAAACATCGCAACAATGTTCTCAACCGAGTACCTCACATCGTCCGGCCTCACCACATCCACACCAATCTGGCTCTCCTCGTCTTCCTCGCGACCCCCGTGCTGGCCGCGCGGTACGTACTGTACAAGCGTGTCGCGATAAGACTGTCGGACTGCGATTGCGTATGGAGGGGGTGCGTCGGCTGGATAGAAAGCATCGTTGGGTCGGTGAGATATTTCCGTCGACTGCGTGTACGCGTGGGAGACGAGGTGGGCGAGGGGAACGTCGTCGGCGTCTGGGGTGTGGGGTGGTGAGTCTGTGTATGGTTGGTAGGGTGGACTGCGTCGTGACTGCCGTTGGTGCGTCGGTGAAGTAGTTTGACGCGTCGAGGGTGATGCTTCTGTTGGTGTTGGAGGGTCGTCGCGGTAGGGCTCTTCGTCTGCGTAGGGAGGAGGCGTTGCGGACAGCGGTTTTATGGTCGTGGATGAGTCTGAGGAGCTGGGTGATGTTTGGTGGGTATACGATGTTCTCCGGACTCGTGCAGGAGAGTCGCGGTATGGTGTAGTAGTAGTGTTCTGCGCAATGTTTAGCTGACGTGACTCCAAAAGGGAAGACAGGCTGATGTATACCTCCATGACGAGCTTCCAAAGCCAGGTACAATGCCCTCTCTCTCAAATATGTCTCCAACACTGCCAAAAGAGCGTCCAATTCCCTCAAGCACTGCCAAAGAAGCTGCTGTAAGCTATGTCACCAAGATGCTGTTGAGCGCGATCAGTAGAGGCTGCGGCACGTTACACAGCACAGGAGGTTAGCAGTCGCGTAGTCACAGGCACACATCAAGTTGGAGAGCACAAGGCAGCTGCGACAGGCGTCCAAGGCCTTCCGCAGCAGCGGCGCAGTAGTCCATGGCTGCCCCCATCAGATGGCTGGGGGGTAGCTGTCGGCCATGGATCCGCCCACTCGGACACATCCATGCGCTGTGACGATTGTGGCTATAGCGGGGGGACAAGTGGGTTTAGCGCTGAGGCGCCATTCCTGGCTACGCCGCTGCCGGGCCGGTAAGGCAGACATTATGACATCGGCATGCCGTTGGATTTTATCGAGTATCGCGGACGAATACTGACCAACATCCTCGTATCGAAGGAGTCTTCTGCAGAGCAGATTCTGTCGAGTTCTCCCATATCTCAACAAGGCTTGCAGCCAATACCAGTGCTTCCAAAGTTCCGAAGAGGAAGGACCATCGCACCGCCACAGTTCCGAAACTCTGACCCGCGACGCGACATTGCCTGACATTTCAGGAACGCGTTTCAGGATGAAAATAGGAAGAGCGGTCGAGACTAGAAGCGCTCGCATAATGAACCAGTTCATCTAGAGGTGACAAATGTCGCGCCTCATCTGCATTGTCGGCAAGGGGGGACGCGAGCCAGCTGCAGCGCACCTTGAAGCTTCAGCGTGCACGCGCTGTGTACATCACCAAAAACATCAACGCAAATACACCAAAGACATAGTAAGCATTCTTTCATTAAACCAACCTCTGCTCTAGTTATACGTTCAATCTTATTTCGCAAAATCTCCGAACGCAATGTTTCCCTTAATACCTCTGCGTCTCCCGCACTGTTCATAGCAGTAAACGTTCAGACCCTCTGTCGATCTTCCCACGATATTCTTTCTCACCGCCTGAACTTCGTACCAGTATTCACAGTCATTGACTCGTCAAAAGGTTGCATGGCTCTGGATTCAGTCTCCTACCTTATTTGCTGAAGTTTTTCTGGTGGCATTCTTCCTACCTCATCCTACAGTCTCATTCTCACGTGTGGTTCACGTTGAATTGACTGGATGCGAACATAAGACCGATCGCAGACCCACACGGCTTACTGTGCCCTCCTAGTTCTACTCCGACCCCGTTGTGGAGATTCGTCATCGGATTCGCTCTCACTCGGGCAGTCATCGTTCTCGGTCCCGGCGCCATCTTGAGGCGAGGTCTGGTTAACGACCCTCAACACCCTTCCGCTACTCGATTCATTCCTGGAGGAGTTCTCCGGTGAGGTGTCGTTGGTAAGCGAAGGAGCTTCCGTGAAATCCCCGTCGAAATCTGCGAATTGCGATTGATCGATCGATCCGCTGTGGTTGTCTGGACTTGGTTCTTCGTAGAGTCCTTCGTAGAACGCCATGTCGTCATCAGCAAGGTTACCCTCTGAAGTTCCAGCGCTGTCTTGTGTGTAATACCAGTCGGTCGGAGCGCTCGCTGGGACAGAGCCTTCTGATGAAGTCGATACTGACGCGTTGCGGACTCTCAGTGGCCCCTGACGTACATAGTACGGAAAAGACGAATTGTTTTCTTCATCTCCTTCGTCGTCAGCGTCTGCGGAGCTGTTATCATCGACGGGACGCGGATCGGTAGCCCACCAACGCTCAATCCCGAGGTCTTCTGTACCACCGTTCGAGATCGCGGACGAGGGAGAACGGGAACCAGCTGGCCCTGCCTCTTCAAACGACCCCTCATCTAGGGAGAACCGTCGAACAGCCGGTACTGCTTCTGTTGCATCATCTGATCCGCCATCGACAACACATTCCCGCTCATTCCCACAATCCCCAAGCTCACCATCCTCGGACGAGCAAAGCGAAAAACGAGATTTCGCCGGACCAGCCTCTTCGACCGACCATTCATCCAGGAAGAAACGCCGAGCTGCTCGGAATGCTTCTGATATACCATCAGAAACATCATCTTTTCTATCGACGTGATATTCCGGGTAGTCTGGCCATGACGACGATGATGAAACTGAGGCGTCGTCTGGAATATCAATATCAGTCCGGTAGCACAGCGATGCTGAAGCTGCGAGCTTTGCGCGGAAGTTCGTGTCCTTGGCTGTAGATAGCGTAAGATTCATGACACGCAGGCGCGGACGGGATCCAGCGTCTACCATGTCGGCGTAAGAAAGGTACTGCGGGCTACCTACCTGAGGGAGCTCGTAGCATTCAACATGGGAGTATGGCGTTCCTTTGACGTTCGCAGCTTCCCATTGCCGTGAATTGGTGGTTAAAGCAAAGTTCGGGGGCACTGAATGTGAATGGCGTCCAGGCCCCCCGTATCCGACATCTTGCAAGTAATACGCATCTGCCTCACCACCAGGGTGATAACAAAGCATATCATCTTGCTGATCCCGCGACTGCGGCCGCGGACGATTCCGGTACCTAACAGCGTTGGAACGTTGAAGACATACCGCAGCCGGAGGAGGCGGCCGCGGCATATTTAGCTTTTCCGCCCCAGCCAGTTTGAATTTGGCAAGTACAGAAAAAGGCTCTTCGTCGCTAATAGAGGAGTCACCAACCGATGAAGGCGAAGGCGAAGGCGTCCCTGAACGCTGCCTAACAACCTCCACAGCACTCCTGATGAGATTGGACACACTGGAGACGACTTCTTTAACCTGGGGCACACAAGCCTGGCGATCTTCTCGCCTATGCTCCTCCACAGTGGTCTCAGGCACCATAGCCATGCTCTCCATCAAGTGTCGCGGTTGCTCAGCTTGCTCAGCAGAGTTCTTCGGAGCCGTCATATCCAAGCTCAGCCTTTCCCGGAACCTGGAGGAGCCGGCGGGACGGTTAGTATACCGGGGTGGTGCTGAGGAAGGGTAGACACGTACGAAGTTCTGTTGGGTTTCTGGGACTTCGGGTTTTTCGGAGGGTGTGGTGATGGTAGGGGTTTCGGTTGGACGTTTCGTTGGCTTGTTATTGCGTATCCTTAAGATTGACAAGATCTGAGTTGCGCCGAAAGTCATCTTGGTAAATGCGTATGTGTGATAGATTTCGAGCCTGCTCTTGAGTATTCGATGGCACCGTAAATCGCAAATCGATAACTCAGTGTCTTTGCGATATGTCTTAGCTGAATACTTCACTAAGCTTCAGACTTTCACGGTAATGTTTGCTTTGGGACTATTCGGGAATAGTTCAGGTCACTGTTTTATACAGGGGATTGCTTCTAGCGATGTCTGCGAACATCTACGATTTACTTCTTGTGCAAGAACGCGGATGGCCAAGATGAGTCATGCCACGCTGACATTGTGAGTATAGAGCGAGTGGATATCTGATGTTGGGCGGTTCGATTCGGTCAGAGTGGTCGAATTCATAGCAATGGGAATTGTGGTGCCAAGTGAAGACACAGCATATCAGTTGCAGTGAAAGTCAGATGCGCACTTGATGGTTGGTATTATGTCGTTATATTGATCATCTTCTACTAAAGGCTGTCTGGAGTTTCGTGATCCCTCTGAATTGTGAGTCTTGACCCCGCTACGAATTGAGAGCCAGCCCATTATACATCATTCTGCCGCGACTTCGTGATCGCATAGCTATGATACGACAAGGATATCCAGTTCATGCTCATGAAGTGATGTTCAGAACATAAACAGAGTCGTGGCCAACTTAGGAATGTTCCAAGACTCGGGTATATTGCGCGAAAAGATCAATACCTCCAATGACGTGTCCGAACCCGTCATGTAGGATGGTTGGGGTATCATAAACTTCGTGACTGGAAGCTTACGCGGTAAGGTTCTCAAGGTTATCAGCCTTACTGAGTCGCCTGACGCCTTCCGCTTTTCTGTCCTCCGCAAGAAGGGAGGCGAATTTACTGGCCTTCCTAATTTGAGGTCCCTTCCAGTAGAAGACGTAGATTGGTGCCACGACCAAACAAGACAGGCATGCCAGTAGGGTAGTGGCGTACTCGGACTTCTGGGGGCTCGACGATGCAAGGTTGTTGTACATGGGTGTGGCGTACATGGCGGAGATACCGGCGAGGAAATCACGAGCGAACGCGTTTCCTCCGGTGGCCGAAGCCGAGTATGGTCCGTAGGCGGCGATCATGTAATCGACGGAGGAGTAATAGATGGCGAAGTTTGCCAGTCCGACGAGGAAGGAGAAGATCATCGGTGCGATCCAATGGGTTTGTGGTGGTCCCATACCTGTGTCACCATTAGCTGAAGTTCAATTGATGGTGTTCAGAAATCAACTTACAAGTCCAGGCAAATCCGAACAGCCCGATAGGCTCGAACAGCGCAAGCAGAAGAAGCGGCTTCAATCGTCGCTCTGGTGTCATCCAGTCGGGGCCGTTCTTCTTGCGCAGGTGATCATCGCGCCAGAACCAGGGCCAGTACAAGAAGTAGGTGAAGAAGTACGCGGCGTTGATAGGAATGAAAGCCCAGGCGACTTGAAGTGTGCCGAAACCGAAGTTGTTCGGGAATGTGACGTTAAATGCTTCTAGGAACGTGAAGATCAGAGCGTCGGAGAAACCGGAAAGTAGCGACAGGCATAAGACGATAGGTTCCCGAACGAACATCTCAAACGGTCGGAGCCAGATCTTCCCGGCTTCCTTGAGCGAAATTCGTGGCGATTTGAGTTCATTCGGTCCGTAGATGTTGGGATCTTCGCCGGTCTTGCGACGTCTCTTAGCCTCGCGATCGATGAGAATGGTAGCTCGGCTCTCAGGCATGAAGAAGTGTACCGCTTGCACAGCAACACCGAAGATCAACTGGATCCAAAAGTTCCATTGCCAGGAAAGGTATTTCTCGATAGGGCCGCCGATGACACCACCAATAGAGGTTCCGATCGTAGATGACAAGACGATGAAGCACAGCGGCCAATGCTGCGTCTCTGGTTCGTACATATCCGCGATAAGACCTAGAGTCACACTGCCTCCTGCTGTGGAGAGACCACCCTAATACTCATCAGCATTGGAACTACTAAGTACGGAGGAGACTTACAAGAGCTCTACAGACTATAATGGTGGCGAAGTTCGGTGCGACAGAGCATGGAATTTCCCAGATGTTGATAAGAAACATGCTAAGCTGCAGAATTGGCCATCGACCAAACTCCTCACTCCATGGCGCCCACAGCTCGCAGCCAAAGGAATAGAAGACTAAGTAGATCATCTGTCCAACGCGCGCTGCCTGTGCGCTAATTCCAAAGTGCTCGGAGATGGGGTTGACGGCGCTAGGATAGACCGACGTGTTGAAGTTCATGGAGATTTGGATTCCAGCAATGGAAGCCAGGTACATGGCCTTCTTCCACTTGGGCCATGAGTATGCGAGCTTATCCCAGCACTCCCATTCTCTCAGCTCGCGCTTCCCGTCTGCACGGATCATCGAAGGATGGTGGTTTCCCTGAGGGTCGACAGGGACATCGACATGCCACTTCTCTTCCTCGCTAGTCTCGGCTGGGATGCTTGGGCGTCGCGAGGTATCATCTTTCTCAGAAATTGGGCCTGACCCAGCTCGGGCGGGCGAAGGGCGCCTGGACTCGCGTTCCGTCATCGTAAGGTGGGCTGGACGAAGAAGCTGGAGATGAGAGTCGGGGTGCGGGTTGGGGTATCAAGGCCCTCTTGAACCCAACAAAAGTCCACATTTGGCATCCACCTCCAGAATGACGTCTGAGGAGAAAGCCCGTTGCGAAGAACGACTCTCCACTCAGAGAGGGGCCTGTCACAATGGGATCCATTGTTGCGAACCCATTTCGTACAAAATCGGCCTAAAATTTGACGTTGAGATCGGGGTGATAGATGCCATCGACGACATCGACAACCTGGGCGATGAAGTGTGTCTCAGGGTGGGCCTAGCCTGGCCATGTCGGGGTGCTCTTTGGCGGTTGAGTCTTGTGGACCCAACTATGTGACGGTAAGCTTCGTCCATGCAGCGAAAAACTAGTCGTTATGTGCTTAATCCACTTCTTGCCGACGTGCGCTCACCTCCCGACAGGCCAAACGTCCGCAGATCTGCATGCGGCTCAAGTAAAGACTGGGCCAAGTGGGTCGAAAGCCCACAAGTTCTCAAGCAGCTAAGGCGGTCACCCGATAATGCTTGACTTATTTGGCTTCCTTATGTCCGTTACAAATACAGGTACGCTCGTAAGAGAGTTGCCTCGCTCTAATCGCGTTGCGACGTTGACGAAATCTTTCAGACTGTCGCGTCTGAGTGGGTCAGTGGCACCTCAGGCAGGCAGCAAGAAAGAGCCTTTATCGGCTCCAGCAGCGGCATGTAAGAATGCGGTCTGGCAATTGATCATCATGCCGTAGTCGTCCGATTGGGGTATAGATGGGAAGAGGCTCTGCGGGCGACGGATGCAGGTGCAGGGTGAAAAACTCTTAGCTCAGTTGCATGACATCATGGCGCATGAACGCGAGATCCGCCGCGGCAGCAACACCAGAGCCAATCCTCACGATGCTTTCAGGTCGGTCTCGACCGGGCGTCGCACATACTCCTTGGAGTAACCTACCCGGGCTCTTTTGTGCATGGTGTTGTGAGTCGTGTTGCACGTTTTCCCCACCCGCATATCTCCACTGCTTGACCTGTGTGCATCCACTGTTCTACGCACGTGTTCCCCGCTGACGTTGATTGGTAAGAGGGTGCATGCTAGCCATATTAGGCATCTTCGAGTCTCGTCGCAGAAGTTAGAAAACTTAAACTCGCAAAGTAAGATTGTTCATCAGGTGATAGACAGAGCCTGAAGATAGCAAGGCCAATTCAGGCAGGCTCATTCACCAAATAGTCCGAAGCAAGCTTATACGAGCAATCAATATTCGTCTCTATTATTTTCTACCAATTTCTCAAAGCAAAAAGCGCCAATGACCGCAGATCCAAGAGTGAAAAACCAGCTCTAGATCAATTGCAAGCCATGCATATAAACGTGGTATCACATAAACTAAAATAATGCCATTCTTGCATACAACCCCCAACCGTCCATCTTCACAACGATAGATGAACCCCCCGTAATCACACCAGAAAAAGAAGCTTCGAATTGTCCACCTTACAAGACGGCGACAGCGGCAACAATAGCAGCCGCCGCAGAGCCGATGAAGCTCTGGGCGCTGAAACCAGCCGCGGTGTTGGCAGTCTGCTGGGCAGGAGCACCGCTGGCAGTACCGCTAGCATCGCCACCTGCAGCGCCACCAGAGGTGCCATCGGTGCCAGAGTTTGCGCCGCCGCCAGCTGAAGGCGAGGTAGGTGTGTTTCCAGATGCGCCACCAGAGCCAGCAGCTTGGCCGGGGGAGAGGTTCTCAGTAGCCTGAGCGGCGAGGGCGACGAAGGCTTCCATTGTCTTGTTGCCGGACGCGGGACTATTGGATATGGTGTTAGTGGATTGATGTGGGTTATACAAGAGAGTGTGGCTTACGCGTTGATAGCACCGACCATACCAGCCTGGCAATGCTTTCCCTGGGAGCAGTAGAACCAGACGGGCTTCTCGTCTGCGACGCGGATGGTGTAGGTGAGGACTTGGCTTGTGGCGGTCAGGGAGGCGTTGGTGGGCATGAAGCCGGAGAAGAAGGCGTCGGTCTTGTTGGACATGATGTTTTGGATGGGGGTGCATGGGTTGTCGAAGGTGGATTGGACGACGGAGTGGTTCTGTTGGGGTATTGTTAGTTGGAGAGATAGAAGTAGAAAGTATGACAGGACGTACCTTGGGGTGGAATTGGAACTGGACAAGATCTCCGGGCTGTGCCTTGATGTTGGAGGGAGAGAAGGTCAGGCTTCCGTTGGGACCTCCGACTTGGACTACATGCGTCATGACCATGCCTGCCATTGCGGCGGGCGTAGAGGTCGAGACGCTGCCGAGTACTGCTGAGGAGAGGGTTGGCTCAGTAGCAGAGCCCATGGACATGGACATGGAGGACTCCTGTGCGCACGCGAGGCCGAAGATGGCGGAGACGATGGTTGCTCTTGAGAAGTACATGTTGACAGTGTATGTGGTGTTCGTTTGCGTAAAGGCGAATTTGGTATTAAGTATGCGATTCGTATTGCGATGCTCGTCTCGTCAAGAGAGTGGATGGGCGACTAGCGCTTTGGGTCGTGAAAAGTAGCAAGCTGGACTAGCCAGTTGTATATTAAAGATTGTGAAGAGGTAAGTAAAGAAAGATAGATGCAAAGGAAAATGCAACACAAGTGACAAGAAACGTGGGATGCAGAGATGAAGAAAAGAGAGCCTGAGGTGACGGCTATAGGGCCATCTTAAGGCATGAAAGATTTGCATGCGTGGCTAGGGCGGTTACTAGCTATTCCGATACATGGGGTTGGTGTTGCGACACGTTAGAGGCGAGAACTGCTTCAGCCTCCTGGTTCGGCTGTGGACCCTGTAAATGAGGCTTAAAACGGGTATATCTGTCTGTAGCTTGCAGCGCGAACATCATCGCTGTGAGATGACCGCAACATTTGAAAAGCACGCAAGAGATAGTCGACGATAACGCAGTGCAGTGCGGTGCAAAGCAAAAAACACATGCTTTTTCTAGTGTCGCGTTGACGATATCGCAATATTGGTGTTCGTCGAGATGCAGCTAGGTGTTGACGGTGCGACGCGCTCCACGTTCCGGGTGTGTTTGAGCCGAACCCCATGATGCTTCAGACCACGCGCGGCAACGGCAATCTCAAGGCCGATCAAGCCAGGCAACCGGAAGATCTGTTTGCGAAATTGTGCATTACATGTCGGTCAGGCTGTGCAGTAGGAGTAGCAGTCACCGACAAGATCTTGGAAGCCAGGCGTCATGTGGTCATGTTTCAAACATGCCAGGCCGACGTGTCCTTCATTTGTTCATAGGTGTTTTCGGCCTGACTTCTGAAGAGTAGTTCGTTCTGAAAACGACAGATGAGTACATGTCCATGTTTCGGCTTTTTGACATCTCCACCTCTTACTACCACGAGCCTTGGCCGTGGGCCGAACACCCGTCTTCGCTCGTAATGACTTGTGGTGTTCCAAAAATACCCTTACAGTTCTGTCATCCAAGGATAGGCTGCGAGCAGCGCATGTATGGTGCGGCGCAGTTCTCGAGACCAGCGCTATGGACGGTGTGAAGCTCCCCGTTGGTTGTCGCCTGGAGCTACATGCTAACCCCATATCCAAATAAGCCTGCATATATCCAGATAGTAGCTAGTTGTTCTTCTCATCTCGTCGCTGGTCTGCGCTGGATCTTCGTGTCTTCGTGTGCACAGCACTCAGAAGTCGAGCACAAGTTGGGGTGCCAGCTTCTCCAGATCTTCCACCTGGAGGAAACCATCGATGCTACCGCCATCCTTTGCCGCTGCCTTCATCTCGTCCTGGCTTCTGAGGAAAGCTTCCGTGACAAAGATGTCGATGTACTTGCCCACCAGCTTCATCGCACCTGTTTGTATTTGTATGTTCGGGTCTTCGAAGTTCTCTAGAAGTAGGCGTGCGAGGAGCGCTCGGGAAATAGCGGGTTCGTCGAGGGCGGCGGCTGCTGGCGGTGGATTGGCAGTGGGTGCATCGTCCATGATGTCGTCAAAGTCGGAGATGTTCAGATCCTCCGCTAGCTCTTCGTCCTGGCCATCGTCGGATAGATCGATTACATCAGCAGCTGGTGTGAAGGCAGTCTTCGAGGGCCCCGCGCTGCTCTTCTTTGCGGCACCTGTCGCGCGGGATGCCGCCGCTGGGGCGCGTTTCGTCGCGGTGGATGCTTGAGAAGGCGCACCCACGGGTCTTGGTGGGTTGAAAGACGGGCCTTTCCGGCGCGCGGCATTCGCTGTCGCGTTTTTGGGTGGCATTGCGAGGTATAATGGAGCCTGCGTTGAGTTGCGGGCGGTCAATGGAGGTCACGAAATGTGGAGTGAGGCAGCACTTGATGTTGGTGATGGTGCCTGCGCGATCCGCAACACGCTGCGCGCTCTCACGTGTACGTCATAAAATACAACAACAACACTCTGACATCGACGTCTGTAGCATTTGTTCGCTTCCATGACCCCAAAAGGCTTCTGATTTTATTCTCAGGCCATAAATCGAGGCGCCCCATATCGTGTGTGGCCATTCGTTCGGTATTGCGCACCGTCCTCGGTGCTGCACAGCCTTTGGAATGGGCGCCTTATGTTGGTTCATCACATCTCCCAATTTTCCGCTATGCTACACCGCCATGGGTATGTACACTGTCACAACCGTAATCATTCCGGAGTCTGTCTCTGATTGCCAAGCCAAACTACACCAACCGACCGTTGAGCAGGTGTAAGAAACAACGTTATACGATCACGGAGAACACAGACCATCCTTCCTTCGTTTACGCGCCACAAGCCCACCTCAAAAGCTTGACATTTCATCGCAAGCCAGAAGACGGGCCGCACGGTGGCGCCGTTCATTTCGTATTGATAATTACGGTTACTTGCGTAGTGTCCGCATTGGATCGAACCCTCACTATGGGGCATGTAGACTAATGAAGTCGGTGTAATCGTGACTTGAGTATGGCGCGATGAGGCGGTTTCATCGAGACAAAGAGAGAGGCCAGCCGTTGGACTAGTTATCTAGTTGGGAGGCTGAGAGCCAA